AAGCCATCGTAGGCATTTGATAAAAGCACTTACGTTCGACTCACTCCCCGAACAGATAGTGGAGACAGAACAGACAATAAAATAAACGATTCAATTATAAATTGAGAGAGACAATGACAAGTGGTTCTAAAGTTCAAATCCGTACCCAGCGGAAACATCACAAACGTGCAATCCGCCCTGAAAACAAGATAGGATTTGTGCTGGCGCGGCAGGGGGTCTTGCAAGACTTCTCCTCCGTGACAGATCTTTTTGACTTCCTATGTATGGAAGAGTTGTAATTCTCATGTTTCTTCAGGGCATCTGTTCCACTCTCATCTTTTAGCCATGGGAAATAAATCGCTGCTCGTCACCTGTATGCATGCGTAGAAAGGCACTTTCTCTGCATCTCTTATATATTCAAGAATACTTCTAATACAGTGCCTTGCAAAAGTATTCACCTACTCAGCATTTTTTTAATACCTATTTACAATCTCAATGAAGAGAAATTAAAAATACATATGCATCAAAAAAGGTTTTAAAAACGGAATATTGGCAGGTGCATATGTGTTCACCCCCTTTGTTATGAAGCCCCAAATATGTTCTGATGCATTCAATCCAATTACCTTTAAATATAATATATCTTTAAATATCATAAAATTGGTGAAATCTATCTATGTGCATTCTTAAAAATGGGGTGTTCAAAACCAAAAATGGATTGTGAAATCGGACTACATTACATAAAACAATCTTGGTTTTCATCTGGATCAAACCTTCACTTTGTGTTGTTTATAACCTTGACTAAAAAAACAAAAACAAAAAAAAAAAACAGGGTAATGTGGCTTCAGGGCAGATTTCAGGAACAAAATGTGATTCGAAGTCATGCCAAGTGTGTTTGTAATGCCGTCAATTTATATTAATTTCTTGATGTTTTATTCAAGTTATTTTCAAACTATCAACTCTGGCTGGGTCCTTCAAAGCCTTTGAAAGCTCCTCCTTATGCAGCCTACACAGATCGCATAAATCGTGGTGAATTTGGATAGGCTGTACAAATTCATAGGCTGCATACTCTCATCGTCTAATTTGTCGGCCACATGACGTCACTGCCGGCGGTGTCCAAATTCGCACGGCCTCCAAACGTCGCCTTCACATCTGGCCTTCTTTTCCTTGGAGTGAGAGCGGCCCTGAGCGAAGGCTGACGGAGCAACTTTCGGAGCCTTCATTGCTTTGCCCTCCTTCTACGATGTTCGACACTATTCTTTGACTCGGCAGAGTTTACTTTCAAATGTAAGTACAGTATACGTTTTCGCATATAATCTTAAAACATCACTTATAACGTAAGACTAATTGGGCAACAATTGAATAGTCAGTCACATTCGGATGAAGTGATCTTATTTGCCTCATTGGCCAGGATCACTTCAAGATAGTGCCAGTAACTCTTGAATGGTGGGTTTAAATCGTTATCATTTTGCATGTTAGCATTATTTTTTGTCATGTTTCAGCGAGTAAGAAACTGATTGCCGAATTTATAAAACTGCAGGCCGAGAACGAAGGCTTCTTCACGGGGGCCAAATTCTCCGCAGCCACGGCAGTGGTTCCCAACCTTATTTGGCTTGTGTACCCATGAACATTTTTGTCGTTCCTCGACTACCCTCTGACTTGTATGTGTTGGTGATTCACCAAATGTACATAAGACGACAGTTCATTAAATGAAAAATGTTATTTTCGCAATGTTAATTTTTAAGAATTCTCTCCTTTTTTTTTTACCTAAAATGAAAATGATAATATATACACTTAATATAAATAAATATAAATAGTAGGGAGGAAAACAGAGAAATAAATAACTACCGCCTGTCATGATTCTGTTTGTGACCAACAGGTGGCACTGTAGGGTTCTCCCTGCAGCTGCACACCTGTTGGTCATTATGTATTTAGTGCTTTAAAAGGACTCCTAGCCCGACCACTCATTGTCGGGTCATTGTGGCTCTTTGTATGCTACTGTCATGTTTGTTTCAGTCATGTTTAGTTCATTGTTATGTTTTAGCTCCAGTCGTGATTTTTGTTTGATACTTTGGATTCTTTTTGTTCTGAGGATTTTGTTTTGGATTTAGTTTTCTCTGTGTTTTAATACAATCTTTCAAGTTCACCATGCGCCTCCCTCCTGCCTGCTTTTTGGGGTCCACCACCACCTGCAAACGTGACACCGCCTTTGTTATTTGTAAACTCATAACATTTACCACAAAAAAATTAAGCTCCTTTCAAAAAGTCCCCTTTAAACCAGCACAAACATTTTAATATGAGAAACAAATCACTTCACAAGAATATTCAGGCCACTCTAGCAATTTTACTTTCTTTTCATCAGCAATTCGAGTGTTAATGAGACATGAGCTGACACACGGCTGTGTCGCAGGTTATCGCTCTTGGACATCAATCATACGCATACCCCCTGCGATATGCTAACATAGCCCAAAGTGTACGCGAACCCCTTCTTGGGAAACACTGCTCAAATTGACGGTACTATGGGATGGTTGTCCTTAATGTGAATTGAAATTTTGGATTGATGGTGTCCAATTGTTCATGAATCAATCTTTTTAAGATACCACAGCTAATCCCGCTGCTGTTCTAGAATGCAACAATCACGTCATTGGATGACTAAATCAGCTTCGAATACAAATTCATAATTAATGAATCACTCTCCATCCATATTAACAACATAACAAAATTGATAGTAATTAAGACTAATGGATTGAAGTGTATAAACCTGCAATACCAGGATTTTGGACGCATTTTTGCATCTCTATGATCTTTTTTTTTTTTGCATGCATGCATGCATTTTTATTTTATTTATTTAATTCAAGACTATGGCGGAAAAATTTGGCCTAAAAGCCAAAGTGACTACCGTAGAGGTAAAAAAAATAAAAATAAGAAAAAAAATTACTTTGTATTTAAATCCACATTTTTTTTCTTGAGTGTGTACAATACAATACAATACATCCTGATTTATATAGCGCTTTCACAACAGCTGCAACTGTAACAAAGCGCTTAACAAAACAGTTAACATAAAGCTAAATAATAAACACAACACATAAGTGTAAACATATTTAGTCATGTCTGTGTTGTTGTTGTTGTTAAAAGATTGCAAGTGCCCAGGGATAGGTGAGGGTGTGGCAGCAAAGTCCACAGCAGAAACCTGGCCCTGGTTTGATATCGTTGATGGGATGTTGGGACAGAGGCCATTCACCACCTCAACACTAAATCCTTCACCCCACCCACACCCACACACACACACACACACACACACACACACACACACACACACACACACAACCACCTCGGACCCACGTTCTTCCTAATCGTCTCTTTCCATGAGGACAGTTCGGGCCAAGTCAGGTCAGGGAGGTGCAGATGCAGCAGTAAAAGAGGGAGGAAGACTAGCAAGAGGACGAAAAAAAGAGCAAAGAAAAAAAAAAGTGAGCAAAAGGTAGACGAGTTGTAGAAAAGGGTTTTGGAGCATCAGGGAGTGGAAATTGAAAGGCAGATTTTGGAAGATGAGAGAAAGGCAACAGAGAAGAGGGAGATATTTGAGTGGTTCTTCAGACTGATGGAAAGATGATAGATGAAATAAGAATAATAATAATAATTGTGCTGTTTTTTTATTATTTAGACTAAAATATATATACTATAACATTCATTAAAAAGTGTATGAAAACTGAAACCCTTGCCAAACGTCTGGAGAACGTTTAAGACCTTGAACGAACCCTGACGTGAATGTGCATTTTCATACCGTCCATTTTTTGCAAATGTTCCTCCTTCAGTGGAATAGTGGCTCTATTGGTTTTCGTGACGTGCACATGCATGAAATATGCTGAGACTTTGACCCCACCGAGGGTCGAGCATAGGCCTAGAACTCAAAAAGACATTTTGGATCGACCTATTCATATCTGTGGACGAGGTTCGGTAGGGTGCAAGCACTTTTTTGCATTATTTTCACAAAAACATGCTTTTAACAAGGCTTCCACCCTAAAACAATAGATGGATGGATGAACAGATAGATAGATAGATAGATAGATAGATAGATAGATAGATAGATAGATAGATAGATAGATAGATAGATAGATAGATAGATAGATAGATAGATAAACTGAGTAGACAGTAGTCGGCTAAAAACTTTTGCAAGGTACTGTATTGTGTCTGCCAAAGTCAGCTGGTCTCTCATTCAAGTACAATGTTCATATTAAAAAGATAATTCTGTTTCGATGATATCCATTTTACTGCAGCAAGTTTAATCTTAGGTCTGGGAGGATGGATAGATAGCCAGCAAATCATATTATGTTTTTAATAGTTGGCAGGATACTTTTTTTTGGTGGTGGTGGTGGGGGGGGACTTGGCAAGGCTGTAGTTTTCTTCATTTGATTTGGTTCTTACTGAGGCATTTAATGACAATTACGGTCATATTGGCGATGCACTGGCACCTTCTCATTTGTTGTTTTCTTCCATTATACTGTATTTGATTGTCAGAATGACAGTTCCCTGCCTTTGTAGGTATCGCTCACATTTTCTACAGTTATAAAAATAATAAATACTTAAAATATAATATTAAAAAGAATCACCAAAGCTATGTAAAGCAACATCTTTGCAAAAAAAATCAGCCCATCTCTCTCTCACGCACGCACGCACGCACGCACGCACGCACGCACGCACGCACACACACACACACACACACAATACTTAAAATATAATATTAAAAAGAATCACCAAAGCTATGTAAAGCAACATCTTTGCAAAAAAAACCAGCCCATCTCTCTCTCACACACACACGCACGCACGCACACACACGCACACACACACACACACACACACACACACACACACACACACACACACACACACACGGCAAACTATGTTGGCAAAACTATTTAAGATCAGGGTTTGCTAATAAGAGCCAGCTCTCACTTTTATAAACACTTTAAATCTAAGCTTCACATAACATTGACATCAGTGAAAGGCCATTTAAAAAAATAAAATAAAATTGGAAATTACAGTGGATACATTGCTTCTGGAAGAAATATTACTAAGAATTTTCTTAAGTTTGTCATATTTTCCTTTTCATAGTTGTCATTCTTCCAAGAAAAGCAAAGCACTCATTCTGTCAGAGTGTTCCTATTTAAGTACCTCTTGTCACAGTGCAATTCATCTTTTGTACAATTCGAGATGTGTAGCTTATTTAAAGAGATGATGTGTTTTGACGAAGGAATCTGACTGTGGCTATCCTTTGTCCTGAGGCTTTCCTACTGAGTACAGAGAGAATGCAACGGATGTTGTGTCATAGTGTCTTCCTGGCGACAGCTGACTGACTAACAGGAACCTCCCACGGCACGGGTGCTTGGTCGCTCCCCTCAAATGACTTGGGCTGACACCTTGAAACCAACGCAGCACAAAGGAAAATCCTCCTTTTTAAATAAATACAACCACGTTGTCTTCCTATTTGAGGCATGCATCAATAAATACATCAACCAAACATAGCACCCGATACATTATTCATAATTACATTAAAGGCAGTTTCAGAGCTCGTGCCTCTACATCTCATCGTCATTTCCCAAGTCCTCTTCAAGGTGATCTGGAATCTGATCAGATCAGTGCATGTTTACATTACCTGATTTAACTTTGATCTACTTGCATGTTGGTTGTTGCATGACAGGGGCATTGTTTTGGCAGTATCACATACTTGAGGCGTTAGATAAGTTCTTTGAACTTTGGTCTTTGAAGTCCTGACCTGTAGTTTCTCATCGATGAATGCAGTTGCCGTCTGTGCGCGCTTGTGAGAAATGTCTCTCATCCAGTGTCTTTTCTTCCCACCTGCTTACCTGCCTTCGCAGTCCAGTCCCTTCCTATGTGCGAGTTAAGCCTAGAGAAAGTCACTCTGCTGCTCATTGGAGAGTTGACTGACAGTCACCTCGCTATGTTGCGACCCCTGGAGCCTTGCGGCAGCCCTCTGAGGGTCGCAGTCCAAACAGTTTTCCCTGGCAGTAGTAATCTCAGGACAAGGACAGTGTCTGCATGTGCCGTGGTTCTCCAGTAGTCCGTTGGAAAACTGCGTAGAGTTACACTCTTCTTTGTCATGAGGTTGCCGGCACGGTCCCTTCTGGGTGGAATTGTGCTGACACAAACACCCGCAGAGTGACCTTCTGCACAGGGCTAAGTCCCGACAGAGAGACTTGCGGAAGTTGGGTTTAAAAACCAGATAGACAATGGGGTTGTAAAGTGTAGAGGACTTGGCGAAGATAGCGGCCAGTGCGAAAGCCATAGGTGGTACTTTTGAGGGGTTACCAAATGCTGCCCACATGGACACAATCGCGTAGGGACTCCATGCTGTCAGGAAACCAATGCAAACTGCCACCGACAGCTAAAAACCGAAGCAAAAAAATCAAAAAAGTTGATAGAAATGTGCATACACTACAAGAGGTTTGGGATTTTTGACTCTCGGATGAAATCTCAGGATGAACCTAAAAGGTTTACCTTGACAAATCATGTCCAACAAATACTGTAAATTCCATGTAAAGTGAACCTAAATATGTCTTGTAAATTTGGCACACCACAGACACGAGTGTCATTAACAACCTGGCCATATTTGAATCTTCTTCTTCTTCTTCTTCTCCTTTCGGCACGTCCCTATTCAGGGGTCGCCACAGCGAGTCAGTAATTTCCATCCGCCCCTGTAAACCGTCCTACCAACTCGCATGGTCGTCTTGGCAAAAGTTTTACGCCGGATGCCATTCCTGAGGCAACCCTCCCCATTTCTCCGGGCTTGGGACCGGCACTGGGGAACAGTGCACCCCCAGGGGAGGGCACTGCCCCCCAGCGGCTGGGTTATTTGAATGATCCAAAAAATTAAAGTACCGTATTTTCTGCACTTAAAGACGCACTGGATTATGAGGCGCACTTTCAATGAATGGCTATTTTGTAAATTTTTTTTCATACATTGAACGCTTCGCGTTATAAGGCGCAATCGACAATGCCTCCACTAGATGGTGCAATGCTCCTTCCATTCAACTCGAGAGGCATCCGTTCAACTTGAGAGGCGTTCATGACCGCCTCTGAAAAACGTAAATTAACTATTACTGTACTTAAATGAAACTACGAAAATTGAAAATAATGCATCAAAACAGCAAATCAAGCGAGTAAATCACAACATAAATTCTATATCCCCCCTACAGAATTTATGTTGTGATTTCCTCACTTGATTTTCTTCATGGTTTCATTGAATACGGGTATCATGAAGTAATAATTTATTTACGTTTTTCGGAGGCGGCCACGAACGCCTCTCGAGTGGAACGGAAGAGAAGGCACGGAGACGGACAAAGACGTACAGTACCTGTCCTTTGTTGTGTATTCACAAATGATGAAATCACAATATAAATTTTGTAGGGGGGGCTATCGAATTTATTTGGGGATATCTTCGCTTGCTTTTCAGTCTTGATGTATTATTTTCAATTTTTGTAGTTTCATTGAAGTGATCATTAATTTACGTTTTTCGGAGGCGGCCATGAACGCCTCTCGAGTGGAACGGAGAGAAGGCACGGAGACGGACAAAGACGTACAGTACCTGTATTTGTTGAGACTGTTTTAAAAAATTAACACCACAGCTCTCCTTTTTTCGGAGCTGCAACACAAACGTATTTAATAAAGCAGCGACACAGTTCACTAAACCAACAGCAAGTTATAACATTGGAAGCATGTCTCCAGGAAGGAGCCATCTTGGAGTCGATGTATTACCGTAATGACCATACACAAGACGCACCGGATTTTAAGGCGCTCGGTGAGCTTTTAAGAAAATTGAAGACTTTTTGGTGCGCCCTATAGTGTGGAAAATACGGTATCTAAAATGAAGCACCAAAACTATTTCAGCTCTTGAACACTGTGCCACTCAATACCGCACATCTTTCTTAAGTTGACTGGCTGGGACCAGCGTGCATTAGGGCTAGCAATTGAGTATTGTGCTTTAATTCAAGTCACCTAGCTTTTCCGCTCTAATATCTGAGGCGAACTTCAGTTTGAAATCCAGTCAGCTGCCATGACGGCTTCTCAGCGTCAAGTTTGAAAAATAAAAGCTCGGTAAGCGATTGACCATCCAAATATTTCACCACAAAAGCCAAGTATCCCAAACGTTTTACGAGTAGTGTATGTGCAGTGCAAGAACGTATTGCATAATTAGTGCTGGGAACGTACCTTAATAATAAGTGCATGCGCATTGGTGATCTTGTTCTGAGGGGACATGTGCTGCTGCACTGCCTGGCGGGAGCCGCGGACGGTCAACAGGATGAACACGTAGGACAGAAAGATGACCGTGCAGGGAACAATGTAGCAGAAGAAGAAGAGGCAGATGATGTAGCTCATAGCCAAAGAGTTCTGGCTAGGCACGTGCCAGTCAATGCAGCACGCCGTACCGTACGGCTCGGGCCCGTACTCTCCCCACCCCAACAGGGGCCCCACGGCAAACACGGCCGCGTAGCACCAGACCCCGGCGACTAGCAAGCAGGCGTGGCAGGAGGAGAACTTGTTGCCTGAGGACAAGCATAACAGAGAGCCTGATTGAAAAAAACAAGTCTCACGGTCAGACGAACACAGCGCCCGGTCTTGTCAGCTGTGTTCTCACAGACGTGCTGCATGGGGAACAGTATGTGCTTGTATTATGGGGACATGTATGGCAGGATGTGGGGAGGACATCATAACAAACTTGTCATTTAAAGCTCATCAAGCCATAACGGATCAAGTACCATAATGTTTTTATTGAAGAAGACAGGGAATAAATAAACAATGACTGAAAAGTGGACAGAAAGCTCTTTCTTTTACATTTGATGGTGCATCACTAATGTATTCAACAGTAATTAAAAGTATTCACGGGAACATGGACATGCTGCACAGAAAACCCATTTCACAAAAGACAACAACACTAAAATTAATCAAAGAACTTGTTGTAAACATTGTTAACACTATCAATATTAAAAACTCGAAGACTTTATAAAGTGAATTCAGAAGTTTGTTCATACATTAAGCGAGTTTGAAGATAAATGCTGCAAATGTGCAATGTAGTACTGAAATGGGGAGATATAGCAACAAACTGTTTTTCACCATTTCAGTTTTCTTATTGTTTGTAAACGTCATTTTATGTTTTTATTTATTTATTCGTCGGGGGGGGGACTATTATCGTTGGGGGGGGGGGGGTCAACACCCTGTGACACAATTTGGCATCCAACATGAGTCTCCCCTCTCTCATTTTATCCGAACTGAGAGCCTTGGTGCGCATAAATACCTATCCGGTGCAATTGTGAGCTATTAGGCCCATTTCTACCACTGCGGCTTGCAACCAGTTAGCTAGCTAGCAATGCATGCATCCCAAAAATGCATCTTCCCTGGATGGCACAATTTGAAGAGCATCTCGGCATCCTTGGGTGCTGTGTGTTCTTGAGGCTATTGAAATATGGTGAACACAAAGCACTGTGGGAATATAACTGGCGGCAAGTAGATGCTCCAATGTCTGTCATGTAGTGTCAGCCAAGGGCTGAATAAGGCTTGCCGTCATGTTTAATAAACAGTTGACTTTCCCTGAAGTGGCTCTGTTGTGTGGACCCCACAACACCAAGTGAGGAGCTGACACAGAAAAGGAGTCTCCCGCCTGTTTGCCGCATGAGAAGAATATCAGAAACCTGTTAGCTCTCGAACTAGCACCTCTTGTCAGGATACAGAAAGGCCCGCGATGACTCTGTGGGAGATATTCCTGCCACTCCCGGCTGTAAGCAGTTATACTGTTGCGGCTTAAATATGTAGGGGTGTGTGGCTGTAGGAAAGATGCTCTAGTGTAGTGCTTTGAGTGCCTTGACAGTAGTTGCTCTTACAAATGAAACACATTTACCATTTAATTTATGAACCTTAATGTAGTGTTTTTTATGCAATTTCCACACCAGATTGTTGTGAAAAAAATGTAGCCTGAAAGCTGTTTGTGACATCATTCTGCAAAAGGCATGACTTGATTTTACTCATGAATACCATACATCGCAGCGATTATTGTAACTTCAATCACATGAGTGGCATGATCACTTGGCAATCCAAAGTCGCCCATCAGCATGACAGGAGAGAGTTTGTCACAGCTGTGTGGTGTCCATTTACGACTCACATTGAAAATAATCAAAACACAGATGAACTACAACTCCTCCATCCATCCATCCATCCACCCATTTTCTGAACCCTTTCATCCTCACAAGGGCCGTGGGGCGTGCTGGAACCTATCCCAGCTGTCTTCGGGCAATAGGCGGGGGTCACCCTGAACCAGTTGCCAGCCAATCGCAGGACACACAGAGACGAGCAACTATACGTGCTCACACTCACACTTAGGGACAATTAGAGTGTTCCAATCAGCCTGCCATGGATGTTTTTGGATTGTGGGAGGAAACCGGGCTCGTGTGATGAAAACAATTCTGAATGTCATCCTGTTTGATAATTAAACAATTTTGTTATCCCCAGGCTAATGCATTAATAACAACATAAAAATGTTATTTAGTTCACCCCCAGCCCCCAACCTTCATTAAACTGTGCCCCATTGTGTAGTTTTGATGCACTTCCATTCCTATTACTGTGGTTACAGTCATGGGTGTGAAATGATCCATCAGAAATACCGGAAAGGCTCTCACCCATAGACAATGACTAATTGATTCTGGTGATTGCAGCATTACTGCAGCGAGGAACACTGCAAGCCTTATCTGCAACAAGACCAATCTTCTTCAACTGCATGTCAGAACCTCTTATGGTCCAAAGTGAGGGTGGAGGCAGCTGGTTAAGCCCTGCGGTGTCGTGTTATGGAGTATGTGTGTGTGTGTGTGTGTGTGTGTGAGTGTGTGTGTGTGTGTGTGTGTGTGTGTGTGTGTGTGTGTGCGCACGTTTGCTTGCCCTGATGCATATCTTTCATCTGATGTGAAGCATCCTTTTACTGATTAAATCATCTCAGCTGCAGCACATTAAAATTTCAACCTGAGCTTGTTCTACACCGAGAGCTGACTTTAACTACAAAAAGGACATTCTCAAGCGTGCACACATTTGAAGCAAGAATTTACCAATATCTTTGCTCAATGAGAAGTCCTTATGCTGACACTCATATAATGACGCCCTCAAGAATTGTTTCCCATTGAACCAATGCCTTGATTTTACATTTGACAAATCTCACCACACCCACCAAACAAAAATGCCAAAAAAGTATGAATAATGAAATAACAATACCCTTGTTTCAATTTACTCACAAACTGACTTACTCAGTGTGAAATCGTAGCCTTTTTAATTGAGCACAATGCTGTTATACAACTCAGAACGAATTGTCCTCCCTGTACAAATACAATAAAATACACAAAAGCATTTTTGACACTGAAACTTCACGTACAGGAGGAGCAGAATTTTTATTCTTACTGCACATTGCTGGCGTCGACAGAAACCTTACATCTCCAAAACTGTCACGTTTTAGGAAACAAAAACAGTGGCACGAAATAATTGGATCATTCTTGATTCATTTTATAGAAGTAAATCATTTCGAAAAAAAAAAAAAAGGATACGCAATTCCTCATGTTGCAGCTCCTGCAGCCATACTGTCGCATACAGTCCAACAGTGCCAACATTTTCTGCTGAAAAAAAAAACCCCAAAAAACACAGATGGGGCAAACATGCTGCATTGGAGGCGCAGGCATCAAGCGCTGATATTCTCCTCCGATGAATAGCTCAGCCAAAAATTCAGGATGTCCACACGACATACTTGTACAATAAACATTAAGGGCCCTATTTTCACACCCAGTGCAAGCTCGGTATTACTGTGTGCGAGGGTGGGGTCGTTGTGCCACGATTAAGTGGCGTGCTAATTAGAACAACGGGTGGGACGGTGGTTGACTTGTTAATTCATCTTCCTCACAGTGCAGAGGTGCATGGTCCGATTCCGGCTCAGCCTTTCTGTGTGGAGTTTGCATGTTCACCCCGTGCTTGCGTGGGTTTTCTCCAGGTACTCCCATTCCCTCCCACATTTCAAAATCATGCATGACAGGCTAACTGATAACTCTAAATTGTAGTTGTGACTGTGAGTGCAAATGGTTGTTCATCTATGTGTGCCCTGCGGTTGGCTGGCAAGCAGTTGAGGGTGTCCCCTGCGTACTGCCCGAAGACAGCTGGGGTAGGCTCCAGCACGCTCCGTGACCCTTGTGAGGATAAAGTGGATCGTAAAAATAGATGGATAGATGGATTATACTTATGCATTTAATGAATTTGATTTCTACAATGATTCAAAGGGTTTGAGGCATACTATTGTCATATTTATGAATGACATATGACATCCGCCACACAGATCAGCGTAGCACAGAAACTGTCTGCCTGGGATTTGATCAAATCCTACAGAATCACGTTACACCACATATGCCACAAAGTAGCCCTCCTTTGAGATGGTCCGTTTGCAGTGTACTTTTTGTCACTAAGTTGTTAAGTGCGCCAGGGGCGTGTAATAGAAAACACTCTCGGTCCGCCAGAAAACCCCACCAAGGAGCAGCAACATGGTAAAGAACAATTCCCTGGCACAAAAATGAAGATCGAGCGCACAAACGTGTGTCTGTTGTCACAGTTAAAAAACGAACTGAAAAGTGATCGGATCCCACAAACGCAGACACTAAATGAAACTCCGTAACAAAAATATTTATTCACAAAAAGCGCACCGACAAAATATGAACGGAAATCACTTGTCGACAATAACCAGGAAAAACAATACATTAACAAAAAGCGCTTGCAAAAGGCAAGGAAATAATTGCCCCGTAAATGACAAGAATCCAATTCACTCGACAAAAGAGAAGCAAGATCAAATGACGAAACAAAAATTATACTGACAGAAAGGTAGAACAACGAGAACAAGCACGACTATGGCGAGAGGTCTGGAAAACAAACACTTGAGCAACAGCAGCAACCACGTCTAATAATGCAACAAGCTGCAGGCAGCTTGTCAGTTCTTAAATACACGGCTAATGATTATGGGCAGCAGGTGTGCACACTGAGGGAAAGGCCCTCGTCTGCCACCTGCTGGAGGCACAAGAACAGGATCATGGCGTCGATGAAAAGCGAGCCCAGAGACTCCCATCACACGTCCTTTTCGTGCCAATTTGTGATTATTTTTAATTTTCTTTCTTTTTTTTTTAATTCTCATGTTCGATTGTTTTGTGTTTGATTTTTATTGATCAACAACACATTTTTTTGGTCTGCTCTAGTCAGTAAATTGAGTGGTGTACACTTAATGCAGCATCCAGTCCGTCTTGAATTTGTCTCCGATTGAGTTCTCTTTAAATGAAAAGTAGCCTTAGCGATACTTTCCCAACCAGACGCACTTAACATCACAAGAGAAATTCTGTATCGATTATGTTGTCAGTAAGCTGCAAACTCCTCTTTTGTCTCTGCTATTTCCATCTCCCCGTTTTCATTAGTGCCTCTTAAAGGAAACACGTGGCGGGATGAGTCCACCACGCAGGGAGGCCTCTGACTTATCCCTTTCAAATCT